ACCCCATCTCTGTGCCCCTCCGCCGATTCTGAGAAGACAGTTTCTGGCTGTAACATGTGTGTAGAAAATTCTTACTATCCCACCCTCAGTCTGTGTAATACACTTATCCTGTAGATCTCAAGCTATGTAGCACCTCCTTAGACGGGTTGCCCTTTACCACACAATCTAATAAGTAGACTCTACTCTGTCTTGATCTATTCCTTTTCTGTAATTTGTAACAAATTCCATCATTTATAATTTATGTGTGTTGAATAATAATCCTCCCACCTCAGGCTAAAAGAGCTTCCTGAGAATATGGAGTGTATATTATTTTCAGCTGTTTACTTAGCATTTCATGGTGGGGTTAGGCTAGACCTAGGATTTTTTAATTCACATTGTTTTCATGCCACAGCAGCTCTCTCACTGCTTTATACTTCAGCTCCTTACAGTAGTCAGTGAAATGTGGGTTAATTTACAGCCCCTTATAGGCAGTTCCAGATTTAAAAACCTGTAGAAAATAGGTTTTGTGAAAATTTTTTTAAATGTGAAAACACATGAAGTAGTTCATGTGTTTTATTCCACTTGGGATGAATGCACTTGCATTCTTTTTGCAGCATAATGTTTTTTTTGTGTGTGTGTGAGGTGCTGCCCCAGACCAGACCACTGGAGGCATTGTAATGTAAATGTGAAATATATACACTGTTTCCTTTCCAAAATCTGAAAACTTCTGAAACAGGAGGATTCTGGACTGAGGGATTGGATTAACCTGACTTTGCCTGTATTACTTGTATAAGTTTAGGCGAATCACTTCAGTTGTGCTGATAAGATTGAACTAGATTTACAACTCAGGTACCTTCCAACTCTAGAATTAGATTTCACATCCTCTTTATTGATCACATAAATGTGATACTTGATTTTTGATCAGTAGATAGATAATAGGTTACTTCAGCATTGACAATTTACTTTGTGTTGCTTGCTTACTCAATGAATAACAAATTACAGTGCTGTATTTATGTGTATACAAGTTACCAAGTTTTAAATTTTGTATTTTTAGTACTTGTGGATGCCCTATATATTTCTCAGAACACTGAGCATTTTTAAAGTCTGGTGACCAATTTATATATTCCACTGTAAACTAGAAACTGCTAGAGGACAGTGAAGGTGTATTTCTAATTTAGTGGTTCTTGGCTATATTTGGAAGGAATTCATTATTTATATATAACTTTCAGATAGGTGATAAAGTCAGCACATCTCTTGATAAATATCTGGACTTCTTATTCAGCAGATTTAATTAAGAAGTATTGAAATGTTTCTGTGTAAGCGATTTTTATAAAGTAGTATTAAATCTACAAATAATATTTCATGCATTTTTTTCTTTGTTCCTTGTATTGCCCTGATAAATAGGTTGGTACAGGTGTTATTCCAGTTTTATAGAGGAAGATACAAAGTTTTGACTTTGCCAGAGTCACACAGCTAGTGAGATGCAGAGGTGAAGGTCGACCTTACAAGCTAGGTTTTTATTTTTAACTTGATTATTCTACTATATACTATATTGTTTTATAAATACAGAATTTTATATTAGACACCATAAGGAATATAAAATAATTTAAATTTTGTTATCTTGGTAGTAGACATGTCATCTCACCTTCATTTTATTTTCTCTCAAAACAAAAGATGATCATAGTAGTTCTGTTTATTTGTTACTTGAAATCTGGTTTTTAAGCTACTGTTAATGCATATGATATGTTATTAGTATTATTTGAGTTTAACAATATCCAAGAAGTAACTTACAGTTTTCTGTTAAAAATAAGTAAAAAATACCTAGACATGATGATTCATCTTCCAAATTCTTATTTTGTAAATTAACAGTGAATACATTTAATATTTTGTTAAGTCTTAGCAGTTAACTATGTTTGGCTAATACTTAAATACCCATTTTTAATATTTACTTCGATAGTAATACTCAACAGATGTATTATTGTATTTTAGAGTAATAGAACTTTTGTGCAGTTATACAATCTGAAATTAATATTTAGTTTTAAAAACTTTACATCTTATCTTTATGACATACATTCAAACAGGATGAAAAACCCTGAACAATTACTTGTAGTGCTTGTAATCCAGTTATAATTTAAATCATTATTTGTTTAAAAACTCCTTCCTAACAGGAAAGTATGTGTACATATTTTTTCAATTATAAATAGCTCATTAAAATATACACATTTTATTTCTCATTACCTTAAACTATGTGCCTGTTGTTCTAGGCAATTTGAAAATTTGATCTTAGGATTTGGTTCAAAATCTGAGAAATGTGGACTGCAGCGTCAGCTTATTCTAGCTACTGTATTTTGTGTGTTGTGGGAGTCTGGGAGTCAGGAAGTGAGAAGTCATGTTTCTTGGTGTTCGATATACTTAAGAAATCCATGCCATCACATCTTAAAATGTTGTCTCACAAACTACTTGACTAATTTTGATTCTAAGCCCAAATTGTTTTAAATACAATTATAATTATGTTGGCTTCCATTGAGCATTTTTTTGTACTACATGAAAGTGTTCAAAAAAATTCTGTTGTTATCAGTGAAATCTGACGATTTTGGTTATACAATAAAAAATTCTTGTCATATGGGCAGGCGGTATAAATGAATTCATTAAAGTTTTTCTAAAAGATGTAGGTATCAAACTATAGGAAAGAATTGTAGTGCTCTTCTTAAAACAAGGCCCAGCAGGATGTCCGTTAGCGTTGTCAGGAATCACTACACGGCTGTGAAGTTGCTCAGTGTGACATTTAGTCATATATTTTATCCTCTTCAGTGTGGGGCTTGGGTAATGAAGTGGATATTTGACTGTCGTTTGCCAGTTGGAAAGGCTCCAAAAACAAGGGGACATTTGTACATGTGCAGATGTTGGCAGGGTTCCCTTTTCTCCTGTTGTCAAAGACCATTTTATTTTCACAAAGATATGTTTGTGTCTGTTTTACAATATGGCATATGAATAACACACCAGAATTGTATGGAGGAGTATTTTGTTTTACTTCTGCATGTTAAAACTATATAATCTCACACACTTACTTATTTTTAGTGATTTTACTTTTTATGCCAATAACTTTATAAATTAATACTTCTGGGAAACAGTTAACACTTTTGTAAACATTTTGTCTGACAAAATTTCCAAGGTCTTTTAACTAATTTAAGTTGGGAAGAAGAGTTAAAAACATGTGGTTAGCAAACAGTTCTTACACTTCACATTGGAGAGGAGTCAATCTGTCACTTTTCCCAATGCCCAAAAGAAAGAAAACATTCTCAGATATAAGATTAAAAATATGCCTTTTCCTAATTGCTAAAGAATTAGTAAATATTTTCTCTGACTAAAATTGAATCAATTCACTTACTATAGTTCAAGATTCATGCTATCATATCTAAATTTTTTATTTATATGATTAGTGTTTTATCACAAAACTGAAGATAAAAATAAAATGTTATGTGTACAAACAAGTAGTTATTGTGAATTGACAGAATGGGAAGAAAGAAAATGTGAAAATAGGCAATTATTTGGATACGGGTGAGTTTTAGAAATCTTTTTGTTTTAAAAGTTGATAAACATTTTAATGTAAGACTATTGAGTTTTGTCAAATTTATGAAAGCTCAGGCTACAATTGATGCTACTCGTTTTTCCTGAGGGGTCCAAGAAGACAATGAGGGCTCGTCATCTCCAGCTCTCCGAACATATGTGGATTGTTTGATATTTAGCAGTAGAAGTAGGCTACATGTCTACTCTGTGATGCTTTCCTGTGCTTCTCCTGCAGTATTTGAATAAACGTCATGCTCTCAGTTTCCTTTTTCCAATTTAAGAAAGGTGCTCTGCTAAAGGAAAATACCTCAGATAAAGCCTTTCGTTTTATTTAACCTGAAAACAACTTGTTCATGGTCATGGGAGATTGTTGCTTTAGAATGTTAGTCCTCCTGGTGGTTATAAAATCTCTCTGAAAACTTTGAGATAGGAGAATAAATAATTCTGAAGTTGGGCTAAAGGTGAACAGAAAATGTGGTGTCCTACAGCCAGAGATACTTGGAGTGGAGGTTGGGTTCATTGGATGTCAGATTGCCCTTCACCAGCTGTTGAGGGCAGGGTAAAAAGCACTACATTTGCCAGAATCTTCCTCTGAATTCTACTTCTAGGGCCTGCACCACTTCTTAGTAACTAACACTAATTATATTCACAATTATTTGTCTGATACCTGTTTCCTACTAAAGGTTTTATTTTAGAGACTGTTTAGTTCGCTCTTATTGCCAGTGTTACACCAGCGCCTGGTGCCTGGTAAATGCAGCTGAATAATAGGCCTGCCTTGCTCTCCATTCAGAAGAAAGGATTGCTTGAGTGTACTTAACACAAACCAGAAGGCTAAAGGAAAGCATTAATACTTTTATTTTTATTTGTTTATTTATTTAAAATTTTAATTGTTGTTAAAGTACAGTTTTCTGCTTTTTACTCCCATTTCCACTCCCCACCCCTCTTGTTTTTGTCCATGTGTCCTTTATATTTGTTCCTCCTGTAAACCCTTCTCCTTTTTCCCTGAAATTCCCTCCCCTCTGGTCACTGTCAGCCTGTTCTGTGTCTTTGGTTATATTTTGCTTGTTTCTTTTGTTGATTAGGTTCCTGTTAAAGATGAGATCATATGGTATTTGTCTTTTACCACCTGGCATATTTTGCTTAGGATAGGAAAGCATTAATACTTTTAGATTTGGTAATAAGTGAGTATCTTTTGTTTTGTTGGTTGGTCAGTTTGGTTCTGAGATTTTAAGAAGCAGTACTTATTCTATTTTAGCTTTATCAGGTAAAGTTACCTATTTATTTTTCTCAGATCTATAGTAATGGTATGAATTAGAAAAGAAACAAGTTTCTGTTGAACTAGTAACTATAACAAGAAAATCCAAGTTTATGCAATCTCTACTGAGAGTATTTGGGGATAGACCTACGCTATCTTCATTAGCATCTCTTACAATATTAAGATCATTCTTTTGTAGAGTTTTCCATCTGATGAAGGTTGGCCATTTGCAAAGTACCTTGGAGCTTGTGGAAGAATGGTGGCTGTAAATTATGTTGGAGAAGAACTGTGGAGCTACTTTAATGCACCATGGGAGAAACGAGTTGACCTCGCTTGGCAATTAATGGAAATAGCAGAGCAACTTACAAACAATGACTTTGAATTTGCACTCTACCTCCTGGATGTCAGCTTTGACAATTTTGCAGTTGGTCCTAGAGATGGGAAGGTAATCATTGTGGATGCTGAAAATGTTTTGGTTGCTGACAAAAGGCTAATTAGACAAAGTAAGTATATAACTTTTAGGTTTGTTTTGTATGCCTTTTTTTCTCTATGTCAAAATGATGTTTACATTTGTATGAAGCAAATCTGTAATTTTCACTCTAGTTGGCAACCTTGCATCTTTCTTTGTTTTATTTGATCAGTATCAGTAAATAAATACTGATTTATTATGCATTCATTCTTAATCATGGTTTCTTCATATTTAGTAAAATATCCTTTTGGTTCATTGAGACTCAGAGGAGTGTGTATATATGCATGTTTTCATTTTTGTTTTACATGGCCCACTGTCTTCTGTGGGTTAGGAGTCTAATGCAGAATTAAGTTTTATATACAGGTTACAGACTACCAGAAAGATTGTGCTGTCCTATGGGGTCCCTTTGTGTAGTGTAGGTGATTCCTGGTGCTGCAAATCTCTAACCTGGTTTGACAGTGTTACATCTTACCCAAAACCTTGCTCCCCACTTACTTGTGAGCTCCTCACAGTGTAGGTGGGCAGAATGTCTGAAGTGTTTTTAAAATTAAATGCCTTAGGAATTTTAAAGCATTGCAAAGCCTATAATTCTATAACTATATTACTTAGTAAAAAGAAACTGAAGTTGTTGCTCTTTGGTGAGAGTGTTGTATCTTTAATTCCCTCCCCTCCCTTCGTATGAGGCACTTTCCATCAGCAGAGACTAAAGTTTGTGGCACCTGGGGAACGCCTTGAATGTAACAGCAGTAGATTAAGTGGACTCTGTTTGCTTGGTCCTGTTAAATACTTGGTTTTCTCAGTGCCTTGTTCTGGTTCCACACTCACCAGACTGCTTTCTCGTTATATCTGACTGCCCTGCAGGGCCTCCTATGGGGCGGACACTGTGCAGGAGTGCTGGACCTCTTCCTTCATGTGTGCGGGTGGCAGCAGCGTGTGCACCAAGCTTTTCTTTCTTAAAATGCACAATTCATTGGTTTCTATTATATTCCCAGAATTCTGCCAGCTTGCCTAAGCTGTTAAAATATGCATTCAGTCCAGTGTTTGTAAATTGATTTTTGTAGTTTTTTTGATGTGGACATTCCGGAATACATCTTACAATCTTACACCAATGAATTCCTGAGTTGGAATGAATACAACCTGTAGCTTCGGTATTCTTGCATTTCACACAAAGAACATTGCTGCAGGTTTTTGTTAGCACTGCTCAGTTCTTCTCAAATGGCTCTTGGTAGGGCTAACTAGCCACTTTGCAAAAGGCCACATCTGTTTTTTCACCCTCTTTTCCGAACTCTTTCTAGTAAATGACCTTATTTTCTTTCACAGGGAATGTGGGTTTTGATGGGGCATCTCCATCAGTGTCGTCCTTGCCTTTAACTTCTACACCAGTGAAAACAGTACACATTCATCCCTCTTCTTCATACGTAGGGCAGCCTGTGTCCAACCCTGTTTCATAGGTTTTCTTGAACTCCCACCTTCCTCCCTACAATCCATTCCTCTTACCTTCCATGTGCAGGCTTGTCCGAGACTCTTTCCTGCTTTCCCCTGCTTTTCCCCTGTGTTTAAGAGTATTGCTTACATGGTTTTCTGTACTTCCTGGGCTTCCATTCATCCCTCAGCCATTAAAACCTGGCTCAGAAGTCTGCATTACCATTAGCAACCACTGAATTGGCCAATTCCTGAAGTCACTGGTTAGTAACAACTTCCTGAAATTATTTATTACCTTGGCTTTCCTCAGTTTTAGTAGTTCCTTTTTAAAAAAAAAAACATTAATCTTATTTCCCCTTTGCTCAGAGCTTTTAATGACTTCCTACTGTTCTTCAGTAAAATTTAGACTCCTCCCAGAGCATGATCTGTGTGACTCACCCTAATGGGCTTCTTTTTAAAATGTCCCTCTGTCCATTTTTGCCCTCAGTGTCTCAGCTGTAGTGGCCTTAAAGATTTCTGGAATGAACCTTTCCACTTTTGGGCTTTCCATGTGCAGTTAGTTTCCTTTGTCTAAAATGCCTCCTCCCCCTTCCATATGCTTCTAGGTGCTAGTCCTTCAAGGCCTAGTTCCACTCTCAGACCTGACCACTGTATCTAACAGTAAAAAGGGTGTTTCTTTCATAAATCTCTCCACTGTTTCCTTCATAGTGTTTCCCACAATTTATGATAGATAATGTTTATTTATTTACTTGCTTAGTTCCTTTTTCACTTACTAGATTGTAGGGCGGCGAGGATAGGGACAGTGCATACTAATCTGTTGTGTTTACCATTAGACACCCTTGCCTGTTGTAGAGTAGGCATTCAGATAACTACTTGCCCAATGAATTTCTTTCACTAACCTCTCCTCTGACAAACCCTTAAGGTTTAAGGTTCTGCCTTCAGTCTTTTTTTTTCCTTTGCTTTCAACATGCTTTCTAACACAATCAGGTCATTCTCTTGGGTCCATCAAGGCTTTTATGCTGATGCATTCTAAATATATGTACTGTATTTCTGAATTCAATCATAAGTTTGGAGTTTGTTTCTAGTTGCATATATTATATGTTCATTTGAATACCTCATAGCCACTTTACTTATAAAATGTTAACACTATTATGTTAATAGTGTCTACCTTGTCATCTAATTAGAACCTTAAACTTTATTTATAAACTTACCTATTTTTGTCACAGATGTTTCTACAATCTGGATTTTTTTACCTCTTCTATTAAAACTTTATTATTTGATTTTTTAGTTTACTTTTAGAGAGAGGTGAAGAGAGGAATAAAGAGAGAAACATCGATGTGCAAGAGATCATATTGATAGGTTGCCTCTCCCATGTCCCTGCCTGGGGACCTGGCCCCAAACCCAGGCATGGGTCCTGAGTGGGAATCAAACCGGCAGCCTCTCCGTTTGCAGGCCGGTACTCAGTTCACTGAGCCACACCAGCCAGGGCTGGACTTCTTTAATTGCTGTCACTGTGTTAGTCCTCCAGTCTTCAGCGTAGAATTATCTTTCTATAAAACAAATCATGATCACGACCACACAAGATACATTGTATTTCTCTAGTCTCTTCTGGACCTCCTCCCCGAGTACCTGTCATGCACTCTAGCCACAGTGAACTCACTCTTTCCTGAACTAGCTGGACCAGTCCCTTAAGTCCATGCCTTTGCACATACCGAATCGGAGGCCTAGAGTGATGTTTTTCCTTTTTGGCTTGCTTATCTTGTAAGGCGGCCTTCAGCAACCTGAGGCAGAAGTAGCACTTCCTCTGTGTTCCTGTGCCCTACTACTACTGCGTGACACTTTATACAGATGGAAGGTTTCCCTGTCCCTAGGGTGTCCAACCCAGGGCGTCCAACCCATGGCCTGCAGGCTGCGTGCAGCCCAGGATGGCTATAAATGAGGCCCAGCACAACATTGTAAATTTACTTAAAACCTTCTTTTTGCTCATCAGTTTTCAATAGTGTTTGTATATTTAATGTGTGGCCCAAGACAACTCTTCTTCTTCCAGCGCGGCCCAGAGACCCCAAAAGTTTGGACATACTACTGAACCCTTCAGTAGTAGGGACCTCATCTGATCCTTCTGCCCGGAGCTTGTGTGCTCACAGTAAATCTTGTATCAATATATAAATTAATATATTTAAATGTTTAAAGTCAAAATACAATTTTAAGAACAAATACTACTACGTTAGTGAATTGTTATATTTTGGGAAGCAGTAAAAACTGTTAAAATGTATTTTTCTCTTTCTGCTTTTTTTCTTTCACAGATAAACCCGAAAATTGGGATGTGTGGTATGAAAGCAAATTTGATGACTGTGATAAGGAAGCTTGCTTATCATTTTCAAAAGAAATTCTTTGTGCTCGTGCCACTGTGGACCACAATTATTATGCTGTTTGTCAGAACCTCTTATCCAGACATGCCACGTGGCGTGGCACTTCTGGAGGGCTCCTTCATGACCCACCAAATGAAATTGCCAAAGACGGCCGACTGGAGGCCTTGTTGGACGAGTGTGCTAACCCAAAGAAGCGCTACGGCAGGTTCCAGGCTGCTAAGGAACTGCGTGAATACCTAGCACAACTAAGTAACAATGTGAGGTAGTCTATGGTGAACTTTCCTCCCTTAAATAGCACTGGCTAATACTAAACCAACAAAAACTGTCTAGAAAAAGGAAATTTGGAAGTAATACATTTGGAGGATGATAAATGTGCACTGATAGATCTTATATTACATCCATCAAAAATAAGACATTATTTCAGAAATCATATGAATCTTCTGCAAATAAGTTTGCTCTTACACTTCGGAGACTTGAGCTTTCTTTGACTGCTTTGCCCCCTTGAATGCCTGAGTGCATTAAAAAATATCGTTAAGCTATTGGAAATGAATCTGATAGTTACATTGGCTTGTGTATCAAAGGGTACTTGGTACTTGACTTAGTTGCCATTACTATCATGATTTTGTGAATCTCTTACATTTTCTTTGAATGTCAAGTTAGATTGGCCTGTTTTATAGGTCACTTTTTCCTTCCAATGTATAGTTTTTGTTTTTTCATTTTTATGTTTTGTATTCAGTCTTACGTATTCAGGTTACTGTAGGTGTTCATTTAAATTTGGGCTAGTTTTCATTCAGTGCTATGCGGTTCATACTAACTTAGGCAGGATTCCCAGGTTTACTGTGTTTTTCCAGAAAGCTGAATGTTATGTAAATACTTTCCTTCCCACTTTCTGTGGTTTCACCATTGCATGAGGTCATTTAAGGTTATTTAACAGTTACATCACTCTATGCCAGTAATTACAAGTATACACTAAACATGAGGTTGGCATATGTTGCAAAATGTCATTTAGTCCTTTAAAGGCTTTAATAAGAGTATATTATTAACTTTCACATTGATGTTAATTTTGAGAGGAAAAAAAACCCAGTATTTTTAAAATGCTAACTCTAGTCCAAGATAGTAATGCAAATGCCAAAGAAATATTAGACCTAGTCCTATGGTTAGAATTTAAAATTGGTCACTTACTCATTCTTATTATCCCACTTCCAATATTTTCTCCGTCATTATTAAATTGAAATCTCCCTGGTTATTTTATGTTCAAAAGGTAAGCTACCGCTTGTCAGTACAGATAACTTAAAGATATTCTACCTGTCATTCATCAGTAGATTTGACAAAGATTAACGTGGTAGTCATCATCTGAGTTTGATCGGGCCTCATAAATTTTGATTGATGAACTAGTAATTTTTACTGTAAGCAGACAGTTTAGCTAGTGTGCCAAACTTGGTCTTCACTACCTAATTGTTAAACATCAGACATCAAAATATAAATATGTGGGTAAAAATTAACAAATGTGAAATTCGTGGGCTATTTTAAAAGTTACAATTTATATATGTTGACTATCGCTGACAGTGATATTTTTCTGTTTGAAATCATTAATTTTGTTTATGGAAAAGTTTGGTGTAGTATGCAGTATTTAGTTCTAGACTGACCTTATTCTTAATCAGAAAGTGATTAAAATATGCACAACCAAAGCCAGGTTTTTCTTCTGTTTTTCATTCATTCAGCGACTATTTATTAAACATCAACTCTGCCAGGCGTATTAATAGCTCTTACACACTGAACATGACATGGTTAACTTACTTTACAATAATTATCAAATACTTTAATGTAGGTATATCTTAAGTTGAAATAGCATTCATTAAGCTAAGATGATTTCATGTTATTTTATTATTATGATGGAAATTCTATTTGTACCATCTGTAACTGGGTTGCTATAAAAAAGAGCAGGATGTTATTAATAAAGGTAATCCCAGTTTAAAACTGGATGAAGGGTAAGATCTCTTCATTATAAAATAGATTGCAGTATGTTAACTTTTATACATCAGTATGTTGCATATTATCAACTAGCCCTCAAACACTTAAGTGCTAGGAATTTTACTATGCTTTTTACAACTTTGAGGGAGTTAGGTAAAATTTCTTGTCAGACATTCAAGCCTCTTAGTCAAAGCTTCAGACAAAATACACATTTTCAAAACGGAGCACCTTTTATATTTGATAAAGTGTTCATTACAAACCTTAGAATGCTGACCACAGAGGGGTTGCTTCTCTGTGGTCTAGCAAACATCTTTTTGAAAGTGACTGATCGCAGGAGAGGAAATGAGAAAACAGCGCCGGTGGTGACTGCCACTTCAGGTGGTTTTTAAAACTGCCATTCCCCTCCCGCTCCCCCAGATTATGTGGAATTTCTTTTCTTTGGAAAAAGGTTGAGAAGATGCTAGAAGAATTAGGAATTTCAAATTACAGGGAAAAAATGTGTATGTGAAAAGCAATAAATATTTTGTTCACTTTGCTATCGAGATACTCACTATCAGATATTTATTATACAGCAGCAATTTATATTTTTAATCATTGCCCATTAATAGATGCAGTAAAATATTTTTGAATCAGACATTTGGGGTTTGTATGTGCATTAAAAGTTGTCTTTTGTACTGTAAGTTACTGTTTAATTTGAATATTTTATCAGAACTGTCTCCCTGTGCCTTTACAACATAAAGTTGTTTCTGCAACTTTAATGCTCTTAATAAAGCATACTTTAAGAATCACACTTGTCAGACTATCTCTTAACTTCAAATATCTAAAATGTTTCTTGAGTGAAAGGTGAGGTTATATAGATAAGTCATTTGTTTTCTCTTGCATTTATTTTGACATAATTTTCAGAAGCTATCTGGTCATGAGCTGGACTTTGTGTTTTATTTTTCTGTAATCATGACATTTTTAACTTTCACTACTGAAATGGTAATAAACTTTATTATAGAATTATTTAAATGTATACAAAAGAGCAATATAAGGAACAGTAAGTAGTATAACCGTGGTTAATACTAACTTCAAAACATGTGGTCTTACTTGTTTGGATACTCCAACCTACTTGCTTCCAGCTTATTTTGAAAAAAATCTGGAGATATTTAATTCAAGTGTTTTACACATTACACATTTTCTTCTTCAACAAAACCACAATATTATTTCATATCTAAAAAATTAATAATAATACCTCAGTATTACTAACAGCTCAAAATCCAACTGCAAGGGTTCTGAATCACTGGCTCTATATCAGGAGTAATTTGATTATCAATAAGCATAATAACAAAAATGGATTGTAACACATTAAATATGTAAATTATACATTCAAAGTGATAACAACAGAAAATAAACCAATTTTGACATATTTGGAAGGCTATTGAGAAGTTATTCTGAAAACTGATTAACTTGGAGAGAAAGAAGCATTTGTCCTGCCTTACCCGAGGTAATTGAGGGGGAAAGAATCTATAGACTATGTAGAATTATTCCAGTTAATAAATGCAAGAGTGTTGTTAGAGTGTATGTTCCTGAATAATTGACAGGAGCTTAGGCGATGATTATGAATGGCTGCAAAAACTATTAATGGAAAAGCTGATGAGGAATTTTGTATGAATGGATCAGGATGTCAAGACCTGGATTCGCTGCTCTGTCTTCATGATGTTCCACTCTTCTGTGCCTCGCACTATTTTCCGAGACTTGCTTTAAAGGGTGTGTTTTCAGGTGTCTTGTCAACAATTCTAAAATTCAACCTTTTATCGCCTTTTTTAAATCAGTGCCTACATGTTTATAGTAATACCGTGGGTTGAGTTTCTTTGATTTTTCTCACTGTTATTGGGACATACATGCACATTTTGTGCTTTTTTAATGTAATGGTTTTAAAGTATAACTTAATTTGCATACACTTTGGCGGAAAAGAATAAAGTAAAAAATTTATAGGCAAAAGATTTGGTCTTAGAAACTAATTAATGATATTGCTACCTTCTAAGATGTGATGAAGTTTTTAAGACATTTGCTGTTGTGAAAGATATAAATAGAAATCTGAAACACTTAACGCTCATCGTTTCCCAGGGTAAAATAATGTTTCTTGGATGTCATTTGAGAAGATGCAATCAAAAAGGAAAGATATACATCTTTGAACTGTTAAAAATAGATACTTAAATGTTTCTGAGAGGGAGCATTTGAGTCTCTTCTTTGACATTTACCAGCTATTCTTGCAGGCAAATTATTCAACATCTGTCAGGTAGTGTTCACATGGAGAAACAACAGAATTTCCTCTTCGACTCCATTACAAGTGTGGACGGATGGGGTAATGTATAGAGGAACACTTTGTAAGGACCGAGCTGCTAAACTAGGGTATTGTGATGGCAAACAAACATTGATGGTGTGCCCAGAGAGAAAGATGACTTGATTCTAGGATTAAGCGATTAGCTTCTGGCCAAATGGGCCACAGCCCCCAAAGACTTTTATCTCTTTTTAAGTTAAGACTAAACTAGTTTTAGCAGGAGGAAGAGGCACCAGAAGCACCCTCGCTGTGTGTGTTTCTCCACACTGTACATCATCCTGGGTGTCATCGAGAACACGGTGCAGCCGCAGTTCTCAGAGCGCTTCACTGCCGCCCTGGAACGCTCTCCCGGCCGTGGGCACCAGTCCTGTTTGATGCTGACACTGTTTGTACTTAGCAGTTGATATAACAAGGTTTTAAACAAACAAGAACAAAAAAGTTGGACCTATAAGTGCCTCCGTCAGTGATTTTTGAATAGTATGTGTGAGAAGTGTGTAGAGGTAGCACCTTCGCAGTAGTAACGGGAATAAAAGCCGAATTTGAACAGGTGTGGCCAGTGGCTCCACGGGGCAGCTCCCCGGCAGCCCGTAGGCATGGCACCACTGGTTACAACGCAGATGTCGATTGGGGTGTACTGAAATTTGAGGAAATTTTTGTTATAATCGATGAATTAGACTTTTTTTTAGTGTGTCAGGATACATCTTTTTTTTCTTTCTCTTTGTGGTAAGATACATAAAAAATAATTATTTTATGTGTACAATTCAGCACTATTCATTGCATTTACAATGTTATGTGACCATTACCACTATCTGCTTCCAATTTTTTTCATCACCCCAAACAAAACTGTACCCGTGAGGCCATAGCTCCCCAATTCTCCTTTCCAAGCCCATGGTAATTTCTGATTTACCTTCTGTCTCTCTAAATTTTTCCTATTTAGACATTTTATATATGTGGAATCATACAACAGTTCTTTTGTGACTAGCTTCTTTCACTTAGCATAATTTTTTAAGGCATCAGAAATTTATTCCTCATTTAGGCTGAGTAATACTCCATTGTATGTATATTCTGTATTTGTTATCCATTCATCTGTTGATGGATACTTGAATTGTTTCCGTCTCCTGGTTATTGTGAATAATGCTGAAATGAACATCGGCATACAGGTATGTGTCTGAGTGCCTGCTTTCAATTCTTTGGGGCGTATACCTAGGAGTAGAATTACTGGATTGTATAGAAACTCTATGTGTAACTTCTTCAGAAACCTCCTAACTGTCACGTTTTAGCTCTAACATCTGATTGGCACTAGGTGAGCAGAGATGAGTACAGTTGTTTCTTTGTTCCTGAACTGGTAAGCGAGCAGTAATGACTGTGAGTGAACTGGGAGCAAGCATCTTCAACAGCATCCACACAGGCTCATGTCTTACAAGTGCAAGAGCTACCAGAGGTTCTTTAGAACAATGAGATTAGCTGTAGTGAATAAATCCAAGGAGTGCCCTCAGTTAATGAAAAAGTCACCTTTTCCGAGGAACAACATGGATGACCTGGGGCTCGGGAAGGAAAGAAGCTGATATGGAGACAGAAGGAACAATAAGTCTCCTAATACCACTTAAAGTAATACCACACCTTATGTGCACACATCAAGTGACAGGCATTGTGCTTAACATTGTACAGTCATGGGACGCTTGATGATGCATTCTGAGCAGTGCACAGCTAAGCGACTGCCACGTTGTGCACACGTCACAGAGTGCCTTACACACACAGACGGTCTAGCCCACTACACACCTGGGCTGTATGCTATAGCCTATGGCCTATTGCTTTAGGCCACACGCCTGTACCACAAGGAGCAAGCCTGTGCTGCACACGTGCTACTGTACAAAACAACACGAGAGTAAATGAGCCGCGGTAAGCATGAGACACGTGCCACTCTGCCAGTGTAACAGCATACCATTTGACAGCAAATGTTTTTGTAAATAGAGTGCACTCTAAAATAATCGAAAGTGTAGTATAGTAACCAGTAAACCAGTAACATATAAACCAGTAACCATATAAACCAGTAACATCGTCTATTATCATTATCAAGCATTATGTAGTGTACATACCTGTGTGTGTTACACTTTGCCTGGCAGCACAGTAGGCTTGTTTATGCCAGCATCACCCCAAACACATGAGTGATGTGTCGTGCTACAATGTTAACATGGCTATGATGTTAAGACCACTATCATATTGCTAGACGATTGGAATTTTTCAGCTCCATTATCATTTTATGGGACCATCACGCTGTATGCGTTCTATGGTTGACCAAAAAGCTGCCATATAGCACATGAGTGTATATGTAAGGTTGTATCTTTATGAGTATATCTTTAAAGCAAGGTTAATATGCTATTTCCATTTTACTGATGAGGTCTGTCCAGAAGGTATCTAGCCATGTACTATGAAAAATGCAGACATTTATTGAAGAAGACACAAGTTACCAGAAACATTGTACATAGGACAATGACACCCAGTTCCCTTCAAAGTAGACACCTCGGAATCTCACTCAGTTCTCCCACTAGCCATCACCTACCCCGTCATATTTCCTGACTCTAATTCATGGTCTGAAATCTTTTCCCTTTCAAAGGTGATTTTAGTTTTGGGGAAACCCAGAAGGCTCAGGACACCGAATGTGGGCTGTAGAGGGGCTGAGTCACCTGGGTGATTGGATGTTTTGCCAAAAACTTCTGCACGAGACCTGATGCATGGAGAGGCACGTTGTGGCGATGAAGCTGCCAAGCACCAGTTGCCCATAGCTTTGGCCTTCTGAATCATCTGAATGGTTTCCATGGAGAAATGTTCAACCTTAATTTGCAAAATTTGTTGCAGATTCATTGCTCTCCTTGCTCATTCATTTTGAATGCAATGGCCACACAGTACACATGCTCACTCAGTGGCGTCTACCGCCCCCACTGACCAGCACAGTGAAGTTGTGATTGTTCACTCATGTGTTTTCCAGTCCACTGTCCTTGGCTGCCACATTACAGCGATATCGAGTAAACTTCTCATTATATTAACAATGGCTGAACTTTGTTGAGACAGATGTTGTGGTATAGGAAACTCTTGCCCTGGAGGTTAAGTGCCTTTGTTCAGGGCCACAGAGCTAGGGAATGGCAAGAAGGACAGAAGTTGAAGTAAGATTCTGCTTCTGGATGCTTCTCCCAGCCCTTTACACATGGCACAATGCCATGTGGACCCTGCATGGTTCATCAGTGCAACTCTTTTTTGACCACTGCTTTTTCCTGACTGTGGCCAGAGTGAGTTCCCTCTTTCCCTTGCAGGTAGGTGTGCTTGGCCCTTCCTGGGATCGGCCATTCTCCTGTTGTGTTCCTGCCCAGGGCCCTGCAGCTCCTTCATTGTGTCTAGTGTCCAGTGACACAGACGCTTTAGTCCTGAACTCTTAAACCAGCCATAATGCCGCTGGTCAGAATGTGCTGT